TTTGTAGTTTTAGTAGAGATGGGGTTTCATCATGTTGACCAGGATGGTCTCGATCTCTTGACCTCGTGATCCACCCGCCTTGGCCTCCCAAAGTGCTGGGATTACAAGCTTGAGCCACCGCACCCGGCTTATCATCTTCACTTAAGTTGAAGACCATTGCATCTAAACATATATGGGTTTAGAAGAAGCAAAAATTTGCTTTTGCTGACCTTACTTTCTCCATCATGAAATTCATAATTGAAAATAGACTCTTTTGAGAACAGATCTTAAGAAAGATAACAAAATTAAAACAAAAAATAAGAAATTACAGTTGTTTATTTCTTAAAATCTTTCTGTATTTGTATTTCTGATTTTTTTTTCTTTGATTTTTGGTACTATATTTTTATTATATAATAGGCACAGGCTCAGTATCAACAGCAGCATGAACAACAGAAAAAAGATTTAGAAATCCTCCATCAACAAAACATCCAGCAGCTGCAACACAGACTATCTGATTTAGAAGCAGCTAATAAAGACCTAACTGAAAGAAAATATAAAGGAGACTCCACTATTAGAGAACTTAAAGCAAAACTTTCTGGTGTTGAAGAGGTATTGAACGTTTTTTTTTTTCTCCCCCAGTTTAAAAGAACGTTTTGATTTGGTTATTTTAATTTGGTTACTTGTGTGGGTGGTGTTCCTCTGGATGCTCTGTAGAGTTCTCTTGTGTTAGGGTAGTCCATTCAGACAATGCAAAGAAAATTGAGAATTTGAAATTTGATAAAAAGCCTAATTCATAACAGAACTGAGGTAACCTTGAATATTTTTAGTTAGGGTCTTGAGAGCGGATTACTACCACAGCTGTCAGATTTTTCAACGTGTTTTTAATAGTAACACAGCACTTGTATCCTAATAGGGTGCTGCATTGACAGGGCTGGGTTTTTATTTTCTTTTTAGCCTATTTAACATATATCAAGCAATTATGAAATTTAGTGTCTAATAATAATAACAGTAATAGTAAAGATAATAGTTAATGCTTACTGAGCATTTTCTATGTGATAGGCACTGTTTGAAGTGCTTTACATTTATTAACTCATTTTATTGTTATAAGAATACTTTTAAGGTAGGAACTATTATTATCCCCATTTTACAGTTGGTGAAACTAAGGCACAGAAAGATTAAGTTGCCTAAGGTCACATAGCCAGTGAGTGGAAGAACAAGGATTGGAACTCATCTGTTATTTGCCTGTCCTTAGTACTACCTTGTTCTTTCAGGCAACGGAGAAATTTTTATTTTATTTTATTTAAGTTCCGGGATACATGTGCAGAATGTGCAGGTCTGATACATAAGTAAACATGTGCCATCGTGGTTTGCTGCACCTATCAGCTCATTACCTAGGTATTAAATCTCACAGAAATTTTTTAAATCTTGCTATAGTGCCACGTTTGTTGTTGCTTTTACATTGATTACAGACTTCTTTGTAGCATTATTATACATTATTGTCATATGAATTATTAGAAAACATATGTAGATTTTTTTTGGTCTATATTGAAATACCAAAGTTACCAATGTTATTCTAGCTCACAAGACTTCTGACTCTATTTTACCAGCGTCATGCTTAGAAGCTCTAAAGCCTGACCAACTTTGTTCAGATCCTCATATAGTTCTGCCCCAACAATGGATGTATTTAGTTTTTCCTGCATACGCCCTTGACACTAGTTGTAAAGCGTTTGAAACTTCATGGTTTCAAAATTGGTAGTCTAAATTGGTGGTCTAAATGCTTCATTATAATGCTCTGATTTCATCTATGTCAGCCCTGGAACTGGCCATTATATAAACAAAACTTCATTATGTTGATTTGATCTAATAAAACTTTTATATGATCTAATAAAAATATTTCCTCCAAGATTTGCATAAGACTTGCAAATTGTTAGTTCTTGGAGCTTTTTTTTTTTTTTTTTTTTAAACCGCTGAGTATTCAGCTACCAGTTACCTATTTTAAGTTATACTTTTTAGGCATTAGTGCCATAAAAACAACAATTGCTACCATTTATTAAGTTTTACTTTGTGCTAGCCAAAATGCTAGTCAATTTACATAAGGATTTTTATGAAGATTAAATGAAATAATTTATTAAGTATTTATCATTTCCATTTTACAAATGAGGCAACTGGGATTTAGGGAGTTTCAGTAATTACCAAGATCACATAGTAGAAGAACCAGGATTTGAATTTTGTTTGATACTAAAGTTTGTGCTCCTAAAACCACTGTAGTATTAATACTGTATAATTATTTCTGGAAACTTTTGTTAAGAACCAAAACTATCTAGGAACACCAGCATTTGGGTTGGTATTAGCTGATTGGGAAGAGATCTATATTAGATTTTTAAAAAATCTATTTTTAATGAACAATTATATTTTGCTTTAAAGAGTTAACACAGAGATCCGGAAATGTTAACATTTATTGACATGGAAAGATATTTGTAATATGTGAACAAAGTAGATTATAAACTGCAGAGTATCAGCCTTTAAAAAAACAATCTGTACGTGTAAGCAACAAAGAAAAATGTTAATTCTAGATTGTCACTCTCATCCTTGGTTACCCTTAGAATCAGTTGGGGTGATCTCAGAAAATTATTGTTAAAAGTTTTAAAGTTATGGTTAATGTATGCATAAATTAGAATTATTTTATTTTCCCTTGACATGATTGAATCAGATAGTAGACTATTTTACAGTTATATTCCAGATATATGCTACTATACCATTAGAAAGACTTTCATGTTTAAAAAAAAAACTGTACTAAAACTTTAAAATTATTAAATATATTTTTTATATGTTAGACATCTTAATTATAAATAACCAGGTGAGGCAGCTTTCCTTTTTCATAATACATAATTTCTTTCTTTTTCCACTCTAGGAGCTGCAGCGGACTAAGCAAGAGGTTCTCTCTTTGCGAAGAGAGAATTCTACATTAGATGCTGAATGCCATGAGAAAGAAAAGCATATTAATCAGCTACAAACAAAAGTAGCAGTTTTAGAACAGGAAATCAAGGATAAGGACCAGCTTGTTTTAAGAACAAAAGAAGCATTTGATACAATCCAGGAACAAAAGGTCTGCTTTTAAATTTTTCTCAGAAATTGATTGTCATATTTATAAATAAATGCCCTAATTATGCATGTTTTTAAAAAATATATCAGGTGGTTTTAGAAGAAAATGGTGAGAAAAATCAAGTACAACTAGGAAAGCTTGAAGCTACAATAAAATCATTATCTGCAGAACTTCTGAAGGTTTGTTTTAAAAATTTTATAGAATATTAATATTTCATTAGATTATGTGGAAATATACATATGAAGCTCTTTTATAGGCAAATGAAATTATCAAGAAGTTACAAGGGGATCTGAAAACTTTAATGGGTAAGTTGAAATTGAAGAATACAGTTACTATTCAGCAAGAAAAGCTCTTGGCTGAGAAGGAGGAAAAATTACAAAAGGAGCAAAAGGAATTACAAGATGTCGGGCAGTCTCTTCGAATTAAAGAGCAAGAGGTAGTGAATATTTTATATTTTTGTATTGTAACTATATTTTTTCCTCATGTATTTTAATAATTTCTGCTTTTTTGCATTAATGAATGGCGTTGGCCTTTTTTTTTTTTTNTTCCAACAAAAGAACATGACTGGATTCAACAGGTGTTAATAATCTGTTTTAGTTTGGAAAGTTAGTTATCATGATTCAAATACCTTGATTGCTTATATATGTATATGTTTGTATACACATGTAAATATTTTATTACATAATTGAGCTAATTCCTTTATTCTTATTTAATAATATTGATAGTTACCATTTATTTAATTATTTAGTTAATAATACATTTCTTCAGTTTTTATTTTACTTTTATTTTGCTTGACTTATTGTGATGATTGATATATTTCAGGTATGCAAATTACAAGAACAGTTAGAAGCTACAGTTAAAAAACTTGAAGAAAGCAAACAACTTCTAAAAAATAATGAAAAGTGTAAGTATGTTACACATTTATGTAAATGAAGTTTGTGGTTTTATACTTTTATTTTTTTGAGACCAAGTCTCACTCTGTCACCTAGGCTGGAGTGCAGTGGTACGATCTCAGCTCACTGCAGCCTCCACCACTTTGGCTCAAGTTACCCTCCTGCTGCACCCCACCAAGTAGCTGGGACTACAGGTGTGCACCACCACACCCAGCTAATTTTGTGGGGTTTTTTTTTGTAGAGATGAGGTTTTATCATGTTGTCCAGGCTGGTCTCAAACTCCTGAGCTCAAGTGATCCACCTGCCTTAGCCTCCCAGAATGCTATGTCTAGGTTTATAGATATGAGCCATTGTGCTCAGCCGTAGTTTTATTCTGAACCCAAAAATTTTGTTTGAATTCATAAAAGCGTAAGTATTATAAATCTAGTTATTGTCTAATATGTAAGTAATTTCTGTTTTAAATATACTGTTTTAATGTCTTTGCTATAAGTTTATATCATCTGCCCAGTAAAATAGTTATCTTTATAAAGCAAACCATATCCCATATGCCAGTAACCCACAGTTAAAATTGTTGAAAATGTTGACTGTAATTTATTGTTTAAATTCTTCACTACTCCTTTTCTAAATTGCTGTGTTTACCTAATAATAACCATATGAATTGTTTGAAACCAAAACATAAAATTAAGATTTTAACTAACATTTTCTCAGTTTATATTACTGGGTATCATACATAAGACTTCGAATTTTAAGTAAACTATAAGATATTCTAAAAGTGAAAGCTTTCAGAGAGTTGCTTGACTAGCAGAAATATGTGCTTCGAAGAGTAACAGAATAAGGAGTCCTATGAGGCGGTTTCTAAAATAAGAAACTTTAATAACAAAAATTTAGGTGAACCTGTATTGCTCTCCTGTGGTGTCAGGTAGTGGTAAAGTTAAAATTAAGGAAATCTTAATGTAATTTTTAAATATTTAAGATGATTAGAAAAATAAAACAGTGAAAATTCTTTACCTTGCTTCTTGTTCCTTTAAGTAATCACATGGTTAAATAAAGAACTAAACGAAAATCAGCTAGTGAGAAAGCAAGATGTATTGGGACCTTCTACTACTCCACTTGCCCATTCTAGCAGCAATGCAATCAGAAGTGGAATTTCTCCTAACCTGAATATGGTAAGATTTAAAATAAGATGTGAGTGATGTTAGTGAATTTCCTGAAACAAAAGTATTCCCAGATTGTTAGGAAATTTCCATTATTTAAGGCGCTGGTACCAATATAAAGTGGAGTCCTATGGTTATTAGCACTGAAATAGAGTTTAAGTTACCCCTAGAAGTGGAACAAAGACACATTTACTCTGAACAAAGAGGCTGAGTTTCAAGGGCACACTTCTTTATAAGACTTGATTGGATATCAGAATCTTTCAGCGATAACTAAAGTAATACCAAATATACTGAAAAACTTTAAAACACACACATGTAAAACATTTAGGAGACTTCAAGAAGAGAGAATTCAGGGTTTAGGCTTAAGCATAAACTGAATTCTATCAGAAAAAAAGAAAGTAAAAAAGAAAAAAAGTTCTATAAGCAGGCTTGTCATCTCTAGATTCTATAAGAAACTGGTTATAAGATAGAAGCTTTCTAGCTCCCAGGACCAGATTTTTTTCTTTTTGCGACAGGGCCTCACTCTATTGCCCAGGCTGGAGTGCAGTGGCAGGACCATGGCTCATGGCAGCCTTGACCTCCTGGGCTCAAGAAATCCTGCATCAGCCTTCTGTGTAGATGGGACTAAAGTCATGTGCCACCACACCCAGCTAATTTTTGATTTTTTTGATAAAGATCAGGTCCCATTATGTTGCCTAGGTTGGCCTTCAACTCCTGGGCTTAGGTAATCCTCCCACCTCCGTCTCTCAAAGTGCTGGGATTATAGTTGTGAGCCCCTGTGCCCAGCCTTGCTTTTTTTTTTTTTTCTCCCCTTTGAAAAAAGGGAGGCTGGGCATGATGGCTCATGCCTGTAATCCCAGCCCTTTAGAAGCCAAGGTGGGTGAATCACCTTAGGTCAGGAGGTCAAGACCAGCCTGTTCAACGTGGTGAAACCCTGCCTCTACTAAAAATACAAAAATCAGTTGGGCCGCAGCAGTGCATGCCTATAATCCCAGCTACGCAGGAGATTGAGGCAGAAGAACCGCTTGAACCCAGGAGGCAGAGGTTGCAGTGAGCCAAGATCGTGCCACTGCACTCTAGCCTGGGTGACAGAGTGAGATTCTGTCTCAAAAAAAAGAAATGGAGAAAAAGAAAAGCAGCTTCTTACATGCAGCGGTTGTTTGGTACTATCAGGTGGTTAGCCCTAGGTGCCGCTAGGAGCTTACTTAGCATCCACACAGGCCTTGGGGCTCTCCTGTTGAACGCAACAATTTCACAGAATATTTACATTAGACAAGGTTACTCTGTGACTGTGTCAATACAAAAACAAAACTATTTCATAGTCATATCTGAACACAGACAAAAATATGAACATTGTTAAATCACAAATATGGCCCATAAGCATCCTTTTATCCTGGCTAATATGAACGGCTGCTGCCTCTTTAATTACAGCTTTGGCCTTAATACGTTATTCCTGCCTTATTAGACAGGATTTATTCGGATACCCAGTCATACATTTATCCCCATTTCCCAGTAACTTCCAATCCATAGCAAAGCACCACTTAAACTGTTTCTTAAATCACCTAACATGTGCTTAAATCCAATAAATAAATCTCTTTTAATACCCACTTTTGGAGATACCCATGTTTCTTTGTGGTATGCAGTTTCCCTTGTTGCAAGGAGCAATTAATCCAGCTTGTAAATCTATCTATACATGTGTTCCTGGTGGTCTTTGGCTGGAGGGCATTGGCAGAAGGTTTAAAATTCAGATGCCTAATTGAATTTTTAATCTAATCTACTGTGGTAAGTCATTGGCTCTGTTTAGGCAGTGAGCAAGGTGAACCCACTGGGTGGTTACACACACACACAGGTGCCACGTATCTCAAAATCCAAACTCCGTATGGTTTTGGTCACAAGATCTTCCACCTACTAGAGTACTGGATGTCTAAAAGGGGAATGATTGCTGTTAAATTGAAAGGTACAGAAAGAAGTGCCTGGGGCTGAATTACAAAGTTAAAATAATTTTTTGACTGGCTTAACCTTGAATGACGGATGATAGCTGTGTAAAAGGTGTTTTTGTTGTGCATCCATTGTGTGCACAAATGCTTCTTAAGATTTGTGTTCCAATTGGCCTCTTAGAATAAAAATAAACTTTGTTTTCATAACATTGGTTAATGTATGGTGCCAGTATATTGAAAATTAGTGGCAATACCAATTATTGTCTCAGTCCATTTTAAAACACTGATCTTGTTTTTACTCAGCCTGACAGAAAATTATTTTTATTTTATCTCTGATTGGCCTATTGATCTCTAGACTCCCCTGTTTTCCCCTTTTTTAGGAGACTTAGAGTGAAACAAGTTGGTTCAGAAGCTTGGCTTTAACTTAGTACAAAGGCACGCCCAGTAGTTTGTTTTATCCAAGCTTGCACAGCTACTTTGAAATGGTTCAAAGTTATCTCAGCCTCATGGTAGATAATAAAGCAGAATTTTGTGGTGGTGTGATAAACAAGACTAGCCTCTGCAATAGAGCTCTAATTATTAGTTACTATAACAGATGCTAATGTCTCCTGATCAGCAAATACTATTTACAATTAATTTTTCATGTTTAATCATCTTTGTTTTTATTTTTAGGTTGATGGTAGACTGACTTACCCAACCTGTGGGATTGGTTATCCTGTCTCCTCTGCATATGCATTCCAGAAAACCTTCCCTCATTCGATATCTGCCAAAAATACCAGCCACCCTGGTTCAGGAACAAAGGTAACCAAATTAACTTACACATGTTCTAGAAAATATATAGCAGCTTATTAGCATACAAACATTTTGCATCTTTTAAAGGTTCATTTATTCTTTTAGATATTCAGTAATGTATTAAATAAATACATTAGCAGTAGTAGGTAGTGTATTCGATAAATACATTACTGAATATCTAATATCTGTGTCTATAGGAAATATATGCACTGTATATTTCTTCAGTCACTACAGAAATATATGTCCTCTATATTTCTTGAGTCACTGTAGTTTATAAAATCTTGACATCAATCTATTTAAACCTTATTACCGTAACTCAACCTTTTTTTTTTGTTTTTGAGGCAGAGCCTCGCTCTATTGTCCAGGCTAAAGTGCAGTGGTGCAATCTCAGCTCACTGCACCCTCTGCCTCCTGGGTTCAAACCATTCTCTTGCCTCAGCCTCCTGAGTAGCTGGGATTACAAGGTGTACACTAGCCACACCTGGCTAATTTGTTTGTGTTTTTAGTAGAGGTGGGGTTTCGCCATGTTCGCTAGGCTGGTCTCAAATTCCTGGCCTCAAGTGCTCTGCCTGCCTTGGTCTCCCAAAGTGCTAAGATTGCAGGCCTGAGCCACCATGCCTGACGAACCTTTCCATTTTTATTCTTCTACTTGTATCTCCTACAACTCTCAAGCCTAACTAGGATTTCTGACTTCATACTGTTGAAGTCTTAGCTATGATTTGGAGTCCATTGCTAGAATTTAAAGGTCTGGTAGGGCAGGCTTAAATCAAATTCTACAATTTAGTTCTGACATTATCTCAGATAAGATATGACTAGCAATCCCTCCAATCCTTGGTTTATTTGTTAAGGCTTTCTTCTACCCACTTGAGTTCTTTTTTTTATCATTTTTATTATTATCATAGATTTATATATTGTTTAATATGTATTATAATTTTGTTTTCACAGTAGTTTAATTTACCCCGATCAGTCACTCCTTTTATTTTCATTGCTAACTTAGGGTTCAGATTTTTTTCTTAAATTATGAGATGAACATTTATGAAAAAATATTTTATGAAAGATAAAATTGGCTGGGTATGGTGGTTCACCCCTGTTATCCCAATACTTTGGGAGGCTGAGGTGGGTGGATTACAAGGTTAGGAGATTGAGACCATCCTGGCCAATATGGTGAAACCCCATCTCTATTAAAATACAAAAAATTAGCCAAGCGTGGTACCATGCACCTGTAGTCCCAGCTTCTCAGGAGGTTGAGACGGGGGATCGGTTGAACTGGGAGGCAGAGGTTGTAGTGCACCAAGATCGCACCACTGCACTCCGGCCTGGCAACAGAGCAAGACTCTCTCAAAAAAGAAAAAAAAAAGATAAAATTGAGGACTTTGAAACTGGTATTATAAACTTTATCAAATTAGGCCTGGGTTACTCTAAAAATAAGTTGGCTGTGTTGCTTAGGAATGTGCTCTGTTTAGCCATAGCCTTATTATCACCAGGAGCTATGGAGAATTCTCAATGAAATGAGAATTAAGCCTGAGTTCTTATGCCTGGAATACTGTTATGTAACGAGTACTTAGATGCATATAATTGGCTCTTCTTGCATTGTTTATTAAGGAGAATTAGATAAGTGCATTCAAAGGAATGCTATTTTATTATCAATATCAGAATACTTGAGTGTGGTTGCATCTTGGGATCTTTTTTTCTTTAGAATTATGAGTGAATTCACAGTTGTTTTTATTTTAAACAACTTTCCAGGAATATATATATATATATATATATATATACGTATGTGTGTGTGTGTGTGTGTGTGTGTGTGTGTGTGTGTATATATATATATATACACATACAAACACAGTATATATGTGTATGTATATGTATACACTATATATATATTGTCCAAAATGAGGACAGGTGCTACTAGAGACAGTTGTCTACTTGGTAGGACTAAAGATGACTTATAAAATAATAACACTCTTGTGGAATTAGAGGAATCATTGTAATAAATATGTTCTTAAATTCAGGAGCAAGACTTTCAGTGTTTCTTACGTCGGTGATCTCCATATTCTTTTGATAATGTATCCTTAACAGGAAAAAAAACTAAAATAAACAAAACATTTTACACTCTCATCTCAAATACATTAATGTTTATTATTTTACACTCCCATCTCAAATACATTGTTTATTTATTTATGCATATACTACTGAAATACTATATACTGTATAATTATTGGTTAAGAAAGTGGAACCTGATGTTAGGATTTAAAACCTGCCTCTATCAACATGAAGTTGATCAAGCCACTGAACAACAAACAACATTCAACTCTTACACTTCAGTTTCTCCACTTGTAAAATGGAGTGATAATTTTCTCTACCTTACTAGATTATTGAGTTAAGCAAATTAATGCTTAGAATAGTACCTGATACATAATAAATGCTTCATAAAAGTTATGTATTATTAATAATAAAATATATTCAAAAATAGAAATTAAGGAATGAGACTAAAAAGGGATGTAAATGAAAGTTGTAAGAGTTTCTTCTCAGACTCAGTGAGTGGTCCTAATTACAGCCTACTTTGTCCTCTCAGACTCAAAGGTGATCATTGATCTAGGTAGTTTTGTGCTAACAGCTATGTTGATTAAAACATGTACTTTTGAATTGCAATTTTTAAAAATCACTCTTTTATTTTGTGGCATTGAACTTATGATATACCTGATATCTTAAAATGTTACTGTCAAGATTGAATACATTCAAGTAGATGTTTAACTGGGAATGTAAAATAACATGAGAAATCCGGCAAGAAAGAAAATAATGCTGAAATAATATGTCAGAATATTTAACAAGATTGTGCTATTCTGACAAATAGAACAAATACTTGATAATTTTAAAGCAAGATAGACAAAACTACTTGTTTTTTCTCTTTTACTTTTGAAGACAATGATAGCCAAAAATTTATTCATTGAACAAGTATTTAATGAATGTCCATCTGCTATGGCCAGGCATAGTTCTAGTTGCAGGAGATCACAGCAGTGAACAAGACAAACCCTCTGACACTACGGTGCTTAACATTTTGTGGTGAAACACCATTAGATAGTAAATTGTAATGTCTTTAAAACTAAACTGTTTATTCATTCATTCATTTATTCATTTATTTTTGTGACAGAGTCTCACTCTGTCACCCAGGCTGTAGTGCAGTGGCGTGATCTTAGCTCACTGCAACCTCCGCTTCCCAGGTTCAAGTGATTCTCATGCCTCAGCCTCCTAAGTAGCTGAGATTACAAGTGTGTGCCATCACAGCTGGCTAATATTTGTATTTTTTGTAGAGATGGGGTTTCACCATGTTGGTCAGACTGATCTCTAACTCCTGACCTCAAGTGATGCGCCTGCCTTGGCCTCCCAAGTGCTGGGATTACAGGCGTGAACCACCTCTCCCAGCTTGGGTGAAATTCTTGATTTTCAAGGTCAGACTTTCAACAAGGAGATTATGAAGTATGTGGTTTTCGGCAATGAGAAAGGAACCTGATGATTGATGTATTTATCTTTTTTTTTTTTTTTAAATCTGGTTGAAAGATTTAGGGAGACAATTCTTTTTATTGTTAAGGACCAAGAAACAAAGTCTGGAAATGCCATACACAGTGGTCATGACCTACAAAATAGTAGTGGAGTGGAGAAGAGGCACAATAATACACAGCATTATTTTGAGTAAGCTCCAGCTTTTCATTCTAACACTTGAACTCTGGAGAGACAGCCGTCCTTTTTCATTGAGCCAGCAACAGAATGGAAATGTGACTCAGTTTATCATCTCCCACAGGGCGGGCAGAGCAAGAGGCTCTGTTAAGCTGGTTTTGGGAGCCCTCGTCCCAAACACAGAGTGGTTGCTGAAAGTGGTCTCTGGCGTCCACTGATGGTGGCTGGTAGCTGATCCTGGGCTCCCTGGGTCCTAGGCATCTCTTGATTCTCAGTGATGAACTTGTCAGTTGATAACAGCCAATGCGGACCTGTTGACAAATTACTCTGAATTACTCTAAGGTCTCTTTTGGCTTTATTCTCTAGGGTTTGAGTTTCTATAGGAACCTTTACGTTTTTATTTTCTCTGAAGGAATCTCTTATCCTTCTGCCAGCATACATTCTATAATTGTAGGTGCTGAAGTGCTTGTTTTCTCTGTGTCATCCAGTACAGATCTAACATATGTGTGTGACTGGAGGCTCCCCAAGGCCTTGTTGCCTCAATTTCTTTATCTTGATGGTGTTTGGCCTGTGTATTCAGAGACAGATTTTGTCTACAGATAGCATTATTCAGTTTGATTGACCATTTAATTCACCTAGATGGGTTCTACATTTTTTGTTTATGTGGTAGTAACTGTTTTTAAAAATAGATAATGTGTAAATATGAGAAGCTTCCAGAGGTACAAAAGGATGTACTATCTAACAATCCCTACTGTGGTTCCCAGTCCTCTTCTCAGAGAAAAATACTGTTAGGAATTTCTTGTGATATATTCCAAAAATATTCAAAGCATATATAAGACCATATGTATGTGCATATATAGGTATGTATGTTCAAATATATGAGTTTTTATATATAAGCATAAATAGTACTTGTGCATTGTTCTGTGACTTGCTTTTTTCATTTAATGGTGTTATGGAATAGGTAACTGCAGTGTATCAGAATGTTAGTTTTTGTTTCTTTTTAATGACTTCATAGTATATGTGGATGTACTTTAATTAACTAATACTCAGTTTATGGATGATTAGGTTTTTTTTTGATCCAGATGTTTATACAGTGCTCCAGCAAATATCTTTGTACATGCATCTTGGTGGCCTGGTCCAAATGGATTTATAGGATACATTGTTAGAAGTAACTGTGTCAAGGGCATTTTTGCATATCTGGTGACTAAAATAGTACCTTAGTGTGATGTTAATTAATGTTTTTTTGATTATTAAGGTGAGAAACATCTTTTTATATATTTATAGGTTATATTTCTTATTCTGTAAAACTCCTGTTTATTTACTAGTTTTTGTTTTCA